ACTAAGAAATATATATTCTCCTCCCCACTCTCTTGCATAACTTGAGCACTATTCCGATCACCCAACGTTGACTTGATCGTCGGAGTGTATGCGACTGCCATCATCGCTGCTGGTTCTGGTCGTGTGCTTCTGACTGTGTGTTGTTGTGCGCAGGGAGGATTACATGGAATAGCTATCTGTTGGCTACATGGAGGGTCCAATTCTCAAGGTCAACAGATTGGCGCCGTCCATGGAAAACTTTCAGTCCCAAAGTTTCGCATTGTCCACCAAAAAAACCACCGATAAACCATCGACTTACCCTAAAAAGGGCACGTTCTTGAAAAAGAACAAAGTCAACCTACAAAGTTCTTAACACCCTTGAAAAGGTAAACAAAATGAGTTATAGTAATGAAGATGCAAATTTTGAAGGGAACAGGGATGCCTCTGAAGAAGAGGTAATCAGTACCAATGTCACGCATCAGAGACCCCATCACCGGCATCACCGAGACGACAGTACAATAGCACTCACTGAAGGAATGGCTCAAATAGCTGTCGGAATGAGGGACATTGCTGCTCAAAATGTGGTGATACATGAATTCTTCATGCAGGCCCGAGGTCATTAGGGCTTCCAGATGCCTCAAGGATCATACCCAGCTCAAGAAATTCCTGTACCTCATGGCCGAGGCCATTCGAGCCAGCACCGAAAATACCCTCTTGAAAGAGAAGTGGGTGTGGATGTGACATCCTGCGCGCAAGGAAGTCAATCGGCATAACCACCGCTAGACAAAATAGGGCAGAACCCTAGCAATAGGGTCCGCTCTGCATAAAGATCAATCTGACAAGACCAGGAGCAAGAACAAGTACCTCCACCTAGAAATAGGCAGAAGAGGAGAAACTTAGTGGATTGGGGTAGTCGAGAAGAGGCACATTCACCTCTCCAAAATGCATTAGAGGGGAAAGGCTCTAAAGGCCCTGTCGCTCCTAAGAAATTGATGACGGTGATAACAACCTCCCCTTCTCTAGAGAAATTCGAAGCTTCCCGATGCCTGAAAACTTCATGCCCTCTAAAACCACAAAGTATGAAGGAAAGGGGGACCCACAGAAACGCTGACTAAGTACATGATGTAGATGAACCTCAGAGGCACTGAAATGTAGGGCCTTTCATCTAACCCTCACTGGAGCTGCTGAAGTATGGTACAATAGATTACTACCCCTGAGCATCGGAAGCTGGCCAGACTTGAAGAAGGCATTTTTGAACTAATACCTTTCACAAAGGGAATGAGAGGCCCCATTGCAACTCTTGCAAGACATGAAGCAAGCTCCTGGCGAGACACTGAAAAGCTATCTCGCTAGATTCATAGATGAAATCATGTATTGCGAGCAAGTCACCGATAGGGAGGCCCTTTCAGCCTTGAAAGGTGGCCTTAACATGAACACTCTGTTCTGGAGGGATGTACGCAGCAAGAATCCCACCACCTATGATGAGCTGGTTGAAATGATGATGGTGGAAATCGTCAATGAGGAGATGATTGACCACCGGAACTATGCGGCTCAGGGACTTCCCCCACCTCAAAGGCAGATGGGTCAAGGACCAGCCGCACACCTCGTCACCCAGCAATGGACCCAGGCCGGTTACACGGTAGCCCCCACATCTGAACACGCATTGGCTTCAACTACTATAAATGCAGTGCTAGTGCTAGCATATGAAAGTGCTCCTGCCAAAGCAGAACCATCTGAGGGAACAAACAATCGAAAGAAGAAGAAGAAGTGATCAAACAGGCCCTTGGAAGGGGCAAGGTTCTGTACCTTTCACCAACTTTACGAACATGACACCAGCGAATGTAGAGATGCTCCTCGGTCTTCGAACCGAAGCAGCCCATGCTCCTCGAGAAGGATGGATATCCTCGTAGGTCCAACTCCTCGAATAGGGGAGAGAGGCAATACAGAGACCAATCGCCCTAGAGAACATAATCCAAGGACAGAGGAGAATCCAAGCATGGAGATCAGGCCCCATCTAGAGGCCAAGTTATCAGGAAAATTGATACAATCATTGGAAGACCTCACATCAGGGGCAACACCAGAAACGCCCAGAGAAACTACACAAGGGAAGCAAAGGATCCACCAATGATTACTTACATTATCTATCAGATCCAAGTGGCTAACAGGATGGCCCCGGCCACTTTCTCTCAAGAAGATGCACAAGGAGTTCACCACCCCCATTGTGATGCATTAGTGGTAAGAGCTATAGTGGCTCGAAATGGACTCAAATGCATGCTCGTCAACAATGGCAGCTCAGTGAATATACTGCTTGGATCCACCTTTGATAAAATGCAAATTGAGCACGGGTTGATCCCCATGACCAACTCGCTATTTGGATTTATTGGCAACAGCATCGTCCCACGAGGGCAACTTACTCTACCTGTCGAGATGGGGTCAGCCCTCTAGTGTCCCATTACTTCATGGAGTTCCTGGTGTTGGACCATAGATCAGCTTACCATGGAGTATTGGGCTGACCCGTCTTGAAAGATCATTAGGCAGTTACATCCATCCATTACTTGTGTATGAAATTCCCAACTGAGCAGGATATTGCTACAGTACGAGGTGACCAAATGGGTTCAAAGGCATGTTACCTCAACTCTCTACGAAAATTCGAACTCCACACTGCTAATGTCATTATAACAGAGGCCGGCAACGAAGTCGACATGCACATAGAAATGCTCGACGCCCTTGAGTAAGGGCATATCTCTGAACAGGAGGAAGATGTCGACATGATAGAGGCCCTGAAAAAGGGCATCCTCTTGATGAGTTGGATCCTTGAATTATCGAGTCCGAACCAAATGCGACTCCAATGGAAGAACTGGAAACTTTTCCCATCAACCCTAAAGACCCCACTTAGGTCTTGCGGATCGAGAAATCACTACCCCCGAAGTGAAGGAAGAAATGATGAACTTCCTGAAAAGGAACCTGGATATCTTCGTCTGGAAGCACGAAGACATGGTAGGAATAGACCCAAGGATCTACTGCCACCACCTTAACATCAACTCCTCCTACACCCCACATCAGCAGAAAAGACAAGCCCTCAATTTAGAGCGATATGAGGCACTCAAAGAAGAAGTCGACAAACTTAGCCACATCAGCTTCATCAAGAAAGCTATCTATCCAAAGTAGATATCAAACCCAGTCCTCGTAAAGAAACCTGGCGGGAAATGTAGGGTGTATGTAGACTTCACAAATTTGAACAAGACATGTCCAAAGGATAGCTTCCCTCTCCTAAGGATAGATCAACTGGTGGACTCCACTGCTAGACATAAACTCTTGAGTTTCATGAATGCATACTCAGGATACAACCAGATACCCATGTTCCGACCTGATGAGGAATCCACATCGTTCATCACAGACAGAGGATTGTATTGCTATAAGGTGATGCCCTTCGGATTGAAAAATGTCGGAGATACATACCAATGGCTGGTCAATATGATGTTTGCCGAGTTCATTGGCAAAACTATGGAGGTCTAAATGGATGACATGCTAGTTAAAAACCTTTAGGAGAAATAACACGTAATTCACCTCGACAAGACCTTTCAGATTCTTAGAAAGTATAAAATGAAGTTGAACCCTCTAAAGTGCAACTTTGGGATAGCTTCAGGTCAATTTCTAGGGTATATTGTGAGCCAAAGAGGAATCTAGGCAATTTCGAAAAAGATAAGGGCCTTATAGGAAATGAGGTCGACTGAGAAGCCAAAGGAGGTCCAAAGCCTCAACGACTGGATAGCCGCACTCAACCGCTTCATCTCCAGGGCCACTGACAAGAGCCTACCCTTCTTCAAGGTCTTGAAGTAAGGAAAGAAGTTCCAATGGATGGACGAGTATGAGGAAGCCTTCCAAGCGCTAAAGAAGCACTTAGGAGAGGCACTCCTACTATCCAAACCTAAACCACGAGAACCGCTGCTGCTGTACTTAGCGGTCTCAGATGAGGCTGTCAGCGCAGTCCTTGTCAGAGAAGAAAATACGCATCAACTGCCGATGTACTATATTAGCAATGCACTACTCACAACGGAGACGCGCTACCTAGATATGGAAAAGCTTGCACTCTCCCTTGTTACAGCATCAAGGAAGTTGAGACCATACTTTTAGGCTCATTCGATTGAAGTTCTCACCAACTTCTCCCTGAAGCAAGTGTTGCGGAGAACAGACGCTTCTGGCCATTTGGTAAAATGGACAATCGACCTCAGTGAGTTCGACCTACTGTTCCGACCCTGAAATGCCATCAAGGGCCAAGCCCTTGCAGATTTTGTGGCTGAGTTTGCCAAAGCCCCAGAAATGGAGGTGATAATAGAACCAGCCAATCCCCCAACATAGAATCTATTAGTGGATGGGACGTCAGGAAAGACTGGCTCCAGAGCAGGAGTAGTTTTGGAAAGCCCAGAGAGCTATAAGCTAAACTACGCAGTCAGGTTCGACTTCAAAGCCTCGAACAATGCTGCGAAATATGAGGCCCTCCTAGCGGGCCTTAGACTAGAGAAAGAAATGCAAGTGAAAAGATTCCTAGCAAGTAGTGACTCTCAGCTTGTGGTAAGTCAGGTCAATGAAAAGTTTGAGGCCAAAGAAAGTGGCATGGCTACGTATTTGAAATTAGTTTTTGGACCCAGTCCCTCACTTCGAGAGATTCGAACTGGTTCAAGTCCCATGCCTCGAAAATACACGTCAACGCCCTATCCAAGTTGACAGCAGCGAGGATTCAGAGTTACTAAAAATTGTCCCAATTGAGCGCCTATCGAAACCCTCCATCTCTGGAGGCGAAGAGGTACTATAGATCGAAGGCACCCCACTTTGGATGCAACCCCTGGTAGCCTACCTCAAAGATTAATCATTGCCAACCTTGAAAAGCAAGGCAAAGAAATTGATGAGGAAGACTGCTCACTTTGTTCTCCAGGATGATGTGCTCTTCAAAAGGGGCTTCGGCTCGCTTCTTCGCTGATGCGTGGGAGGGAAACAAGCCATGTATATAATCAGGGAGATCCATGAGGGAGCCTGCGGTAACCACTCTGGAGGAACGGCTCTGGTACACAAAGTACTTCAACAAGGCTACTTCTGGCCGACCCTAAAAAGGGACTCTTGGCAGTTTGTTCAAAAGTGTGACAAGTGCCAGCTCTTCTCAAACATTCAAAGGTAGCCTTCTCAAAACCTCTCCGTGGTCACCAGCCCGTGGCCATTCGCCAAATGGGGCATAGATTTTATTGGCCTACTCCCAAAAGGAAGAGGAAGCGCTACTTCTGCTATTGTTGCCATTGACTACTTCACCAAGTGGGTTGAAGCTGAACCTCTAGCAAAAATCACTGAAGTGAACACCACAAAGTTTGTTTGGAAAAATATCAATTGTAGGTTCGGCATTTCCCACTCTTTAGTGTCTGATAACGGAAGGTAGTTCGATAATAAAAAGGTACGAGACTTGTATGAAGAACTTAGCATAAGGAAGGACTTCTCAACACCTCATAACCCCTAAGCAAACGGGCAGTTTTAAGGCAGTGACAAAACTATCAAGCATACACTAAAAAGGAAGCTTGATGCCTTGAAAGGGGTGTGGGTCAATGAACTTTCCCATGTCCTCTGGGCCATTCGAACGACCAGCCGAACTATAACAGGTGAAACACCCTTCTCCATAACCTGTGGATCTGAAGCCATGAGTCCTGTCGACGTGGGTGTCCCCTCTCATCGTCTGATGCATTTCAATGAGATTAGCAACGATGAAGCTCAAGTGCATGAACTTCATCTCCTTGAATAAAGGAAGGATTCCTCTAAAATAAAATTGGCTTGGTATCAAAGAAAGATGACCTGTTATTACAACTCTAAGGTCAGAAATTGAACTCTTCGTTTGGGGGACCTCGTCCTTGGAAGGGCCTTCTAATCATCGAAGCCAACTGGGTCCGGAGTGTTTGGACCGAACTGGGAAGGTCCTTATCATATCTGCAAAGAGTAACGACCCGACACTTATGAAATTGAAGACATGGCAGGGAAAGTGCTACTTCATCAGTGGAACATTGAATACTTGAGAAAATACTATCAGTAATAAGTGTATGTTCTGATCCGATCTCCATTTTGTCCAGTCTATTATAACATTCTTATCTTGCTAAGTGCTGAAACTGCCTTAGTAGAAGACAATGTTATAAAAGACTAAGTTATAATACCTCAGTTCTCCACTATGTTATATGGTTTAATCAACTTGTACCTCAGTTCTTCAGTATTTTATGTGGATCAGTTCTTCTGTCATCAACTGGTTATTATTGGTAAGTAATGCTCAATATTTACTTTACTCATCAAGATATGGACATTCCAACATAAACGTAAAGAGGAGAAGCAACAATACTTGATAAAATTTTGATTCCATTAATATCAAAATAAATTACAAGGTGGGCCGAAGCCATTACATAGATCCTACTCTACTGGCACTATAGCCCCTGCCCCCACCTCAGCCTCCTTGGGAGCAGTCTCCCCCTGTAACCTCTCCTAGAGTAGTAGCCTCCTCAGCAGTGGCTATGTCGGGGAGACCTCCGGTAGGCCCACTGAACTCTTTCTCCAAAGCTAAAATGTCCAGGTTTGGATGGACCTCCCTAAGTTGCTGCAACATAGCCTTGGCATTCCACGAGGCCCAATAGTTGGCCAAGGTGTCATACAACTCATGCTCCCCAAAGTGGTCAATAAAGTACTGCATGACTAACTCGCCAACTGTCCTTGCCTCTATCTTCAGAGAGTCAATCTCTTCGACTTAGGCCTCCACCCGTTGCCTCAGCTCATTCTTCTCCTTATTCGAAGTGTCAAGGGCCTCCACCACAAGGTGATGATGCTCACTGGCATGGTCGATCCGCCTTGTCAGAGCAACTACTTAGCATTCAGTCTCATACAATTTCTTCTTCAGCTACTCTGACATAGCCTTAGCTTCCACTGTCCTCACCTCTACCTCCTCCTTTGCCTTTCTGGCCTCTTCTGCTTGGGCCTAGGCCACCCTCACCTCATTTCCATAAAGAGAGGCCTTCTCCAACCTTTGGGCTAGGTTGATGTTCTTTGCCCTAAGGTCCTTCACTAGACCCTCTAGCTGAACACTGGTGCTCAATGCCTGAGCGAGGCAGGCACTGTTGGTAGCCACGAGGTCCTCGGCTGAGCAAGACAATGCGTGGTCTCTCAAGGCCTCAGTCCAGTATTTGCAATGGACCCGAGCCACTGTAGCAATTTCAAGAGGGAGTGCCTCCAATACCTCCTTCACGGGCTCCTCAGAGGTGCAGCCCAAGAAGTCCTACTCCTTCTAGGGACGAGCCCTCTTCTTCCTCTCCTCTACAGGCGTCGGAGCAAGAGAAGCTGTAGAGATGGGGATAGATGCCAGCATAGGGGTCTCCTCAGGTAGGCTGGTAAGCCTCTCCCCAATCACAACCCCTATGGGAATTGTCGTCCGCCTGGGTGCCATCCTCGCCATGATAGGGGCCTTTTGGGGCCCAGTTGCCCTCTAACTCTTCTTCAGCAGGGCTCCTCCTTCTCAACCCGGGGGAGCTTCTTACTGGCAGCTGTCAAGTCCTCTATTTATTTTTTGTAGGCCGAAGAGGAGGTCTTTAGGGCCCTCACCTCAGCCATCATCCTTTGGATGGTTTTGAAGTCCGGCTTCAAAGGCCTCTTTTTGTTAAAGTTACCTACAACAAACAAGATAGAAAATCAGTTAAGTTTGAATGCTTCAACCATAAACTAATGATGTAACCTCTACTCACCATGAGAGGCCATCAACTCATGATCCACAAAATGGATATTCTTCCTTATCTGATCGTTGTAAGACCTCCTCTTCGGGGAAAGCTGATAGACGATATAGATGGCGTTGAAGTCCTCTGTAGACAACTCACACCGAGGAAGAGGACCTGCAAGAAAAGGAGTTATATTCCGAACACAAACAAAGATATTTTCAGAAACGAGGTACTAGAACTCACTAAATGTGGAGTATTTGGTGGGAACGGTAAGGGGTGCCAGGGGGTCACCCTCCATTGTGTCCCATCTCCCAAATGCCCAGAACCACAAACTCTTCTAGTCCTTGATGGAGCTCGACAGATCGAGCACGAATGGAGTGTGAGACCCCCAAGAAGTCAGGTAGTACCATCCCTTCGTCTTATCATCCCCCGCCGCGACCTTGGGTATATACATTGTTTGGAAAACAGAAAAGGGCATCTCATCCCCATAGGATGCCACTTTCCACAGCATCCACAAACCTACCATCTGGCTCCAGGAGTTCAGATTCAACTGGGTGGGGGCTAGGCCAGAGGACCTTAATACATATCTAAAAAAGGGGTAGATGGGCAACCTATGCCTCGCCCTCAATATGGCCTCACTAACAACTACGCACCCCGACCTTGGGTAACAAGCTCGCTCATCCGACCTCAGGAGTATTAAACCCACACTATCTGGGATTCTATACTCGGTCCTAAGTCTAACTAGGTCGGCAGTTTTCAACCTCGATGGATAGTCAGATGCCCCCAATGTTCTAACGTGTCTACTGGGCTATCAGGCCTCCGCCAGATGTTCTCCCCCCTAATATAGCCTCGGCCACCTCACTGGAAGTCGTCAATATCGGCTCATCCGCCCGAACTATACCTAGTTCCCTCCCGAAAGCATTGCTACTCTCAGAAGCCATCAGAATTCAAAAAATGTAAACTAGAGAAATACTTACTGAAGTGAACATATTAGGGTTTCTATGGTCGAAACATAGGAAATGGTCCTCTAAAAGTCTCCGAAAACTGAAAATGCTGTAGGAAAACGCTTGAAACTTGCCAGAAATCGCCAACAATTTAGAAGAGAAATAGGGATTCTTAGTTTGCAAAAGTAAAAACATTTGAATGGCACTAAGTCCTCCTTTTATAGAAGACCTCAGACGATCCGCACCATTGAATTCAAACGATGCCAATCTAGGTCGTTCATAAACGCCCAAGATCTGACTGTGCCCCTCACGCACGCATAAAGCGCGTCATCTTGAACAACAACAACCGTCAACAATAAGTGGCCACACGAGCCCTTTTTCTGGGAACAGGCAGCACATCCAACTGTCACCTTGGAAATACGTGACAGCTGTCACATCGATTAACGTCATAATAAAATGCTTCAGATCAGAGACAATCCATCCCAATACGGCTCGGATGAAGTACTCAACTTTGCAAGCTTCGACGCACCTGACGCGAAAATCCCTGTGAGTCATCACCTTTGACGCTGTGTTTCCTCCATAGCTTTACAAAGTTTTAGCCATCTCCTAACACGTTGTCCTCTATGGGTCAGCACATCGGTAGCAGATGAGCTTTTCAACTAGCTTTACAAGCTTCAATGCACCTGACGTGAAGATCCCTGTGGGCCATCGCCTCAGACGTTGCGTTCCCTCAGCATCACAAAGCTTTAGCCATCTCCCAGCATGCTGTCACTGCTTCGATCGCATGATCCCTTAGCTTTACAAGGCTTTAGCCATCTCCCAATGCGTCATCCCCTATGGGTTAAAGCGCCATCAGTTCGCTTTAGCCTGCTGTTACAAGCTTCAGTGAAACCAAGAGAACGCCATACCCATACCACCTCGATCATCACTTCGCTCCAGTCAACACCTATTTGGCACGCATGCTTATTCCATCCTCTCATGTCAGCACTTCATCAGAATCCACAATACTTACTCTAATGCCGACATACACAATCAGGAAAACAAGTCCACCCATGATATGAATATTCATGCTTGAACTTGGGGGGACCATTGTTACACTCCTAACTAAACCACTTCGGAGAAATCACTTCGGAACAACTGTTTCACCACTCCTACGTGTCCATCCCCTAGCTAAACCACTTCAAAGAAACAGTCATGCCACCCCCTCGAAGTGCCACGTGTTCATCCGAAGTGATGCCCACTCCTGATGACCTCAACATGGCGCACTACAAGGTGAGGAGTAGATCCACTGAAGTAACCAAAGTGTCCCTCAACTCCTTTAATAGATCCCTTTGCCGCCACTGTCAGAAAGATATCTCCAAAGATCAATTAATGTGACATCTCCATAGGTCTAGTTGATGTGACGTATCGACTTTATATCAACTCAACTCAGAAGAACTAATTGTCTGACCACTCTAGACGCGGCTGATTGACACCTATGAGCAGACGCTTCACACCGTCAGATGCATACATGTGTCCTACATCCAACGGTGCTCTACATCTATAAATACTCAAGGTTTGGCAAGAGAAAAAAGGTAATGAAACTCTTATAACTTAACTCTCCATACTAAGAAATATATATTCTCCTCCACATTCTCTTGCATAACTTGAGCACTGTTCCGATCACCTAACGCTAACTTGATCGTCGGAGTGTATACTGTCGCCACCACCGTCGCTGTTTTCGGTCGTGTGCTTCTGACCGTGTGTTGTTGTGCGCAGGAAAGATTACATGGAGTAACCATCTGTTGGCCATGTGGAGGGTCCAATTCTCGAGGTCAACAAAGATAAAAAGACAAAACTAATAAAATGGTAATTGAAAAACTAAAATAGTTACCTGAAAATCGCTTCAGATTAGTATATTTGATCTATGATCACTTCAACTGAGCCAACGACCCGGACTACTTGGGGTGCAAGGTGGATCCAAAAGTAAGAGCCAAATACTAATTAATTAATTATTTAATCAAATCAAAAAGATGAAAACAAATAACAATGATATGATTAAACTGAATAAATTAGAGAAATAATATAAAATAATGTTATTTAGCACCAGTCTACATGACATTAATTCTGAGTGGTAACTCAGTGGTTAGGTCTTAGATTTGCTCCACAATTGTCACTAGTTCGAGTCCATTCAAGGCCACTGAAGTGAGTACCCAGCTGTCAGTTTCAGATTCCCGTAGGATTAGTCGAGATGCGTGTAAGCAGGCTCGGACACCCACGTTTATTGGAAAAAAAAAAAAAGGTCTACGTGATATGTTTAATTAATTGTAAAATTATATGATTTATTTAATTGTATATTTCATTTCATGACACTAAGTTATATTTGATTGGCTTTAATTTTTTATGAAAAATGTCTTTCTATTTTTTGATTATCATTTTTTCCATGAAAAATATTTTTCAAAAGTTGATCACTTAATCATGTTTTTCTCAAAAACAAGAAAAATATTTTCTTTAATGGAGGAAAGTTTTTATTTTTTAGACAATTTACACTTCCCAAAAATTTTTAGGTTGAAAGTTAGGATAATCAAACACATTTAATTTTCAATTTTCATGCAAAAAATACAAGTTCCATGCTCGCAATCCG